AGAATTAGTGAGAATTTTATATGATTCTGGATCCTAGGAAATTGCTAATGCTTTAGCACTAAAAGTATTCAGGAAGGAAGCTATTAAAATATGTGAATTTGGGAATTAAGTTCATCGTCAACGGTTTGTGGCATAATTCGTTTGAATTTACACAATAGATTTAATCCAACGATGCATGGAGCTCTTGTTACAAAGCAAATCACAAATGGAGAAATAGCAGTGAAAAACTGATTGTGTAAAACGAGTGGCACTCACCAAAGGATTTGAATATTGCAACATATACACGAATGTTGATGTTTTAATAGAAGTCGATTATTTGTGCAAGATTTTACATATTAAGTCGATAAGATTAAGCAGGAGATTAATTGCTACTAATAGTATTTTTGGATTCATAATACAAGGAGGAACTTTTATTCATCCATCTTCAACAGTACATGTTAAGTAATGTGATAATTAACGAGAATGTATTGAGAATTGAAAGCATTATGGGAGTTAGAAGCAAATCTGAGGTGGAAATTTAAATATGCAGTGAGGATATTATACATTTGTTCAAAAGTAACAAGGTGTACAAAAATAAAAGATGTGGAACAGAACTTCTGTGGAAAAAGGGTCATTAGAATCTAGGTAATAATTAATGAGGTTGCTCATTAAGACTCATTAGGCTAGGGAATAAATTAAGAAACAATTTAAAATTATTCCTGCACTATGTTCTAGAAGCAGCTAAATGAAGGGAACATTGAAGAATGCCAGTTTCAGGTATTAGGCAATGCGAGTTATTACCTACCTCATCATGCAGTTGTTAGAAGAGAAATATCTACCACTAAATTATGTATTGTCTATGATGTATCCTCTAAGAATAAAAACGAAGTATCCCTTAATGACTGCTTAGATCCGAGAATTAATCTACCATATTTGTGTTAGATAAAATGAAATTTCTGTGGATTCATGGTTGGATTTGTAACAGATATTGAGAAAGCGTGTTTGGAGATAGGAATGAAATGTAGGTGGCTGAAGCTTCCTCAAATCAGGAATAACCAACTACATTGCTATGAAAATAGCTTAAAATTACATAGATTTGCAAGAGGTCTGTTTGGAGTTTCATGTAGCCCTTTCCTTCTTTCTGCAATTTTAGCTTACATTTTAAAAAATACACGGAAAATAAAAGTAGAGCTTGCCAAATGCTGCATAATTTTTATTTTGATCATTTATTTATGGAGCAAATACTTTGTAGAAAGCTTTGTCCTGTCTTTTGATACACGAAAAATAATGGCGGAAGCTAGTGTAAAGTTACCCAAATTTTCCACGAATTCTGAAGAGCTGAAAACCATATGGACTGTCACCTGGCCTGTAACTTCAATGATATACCATTGAAGGTTTTGCTTCTTACATAAAATAACTCAGCAGATTCATTGAAGATTGATTTGTCCAGCATTTTGAGGGAGATAAAACACTTTGGTGAAATTCAAGCTATAAAATGTTCCATTTTAAGTACCTGTGGCAAGGTTTCCGACCTCCTCAGCGTGACTGTACCTTTTATGATCAGAATGAAATTTTAATACAAGTATACTTTGAGAAAGGGGAATGGGTTGGGATAAATCTTTACCTACGGATTTACAGTCACGATGGAACGAGTGCTGTACAGAAATCAACCATTTGCATGATGTACAAGTGCACCTATTTGCCGTTGCTATTTTAAAAGCATATGGAGCAGTAGTGTACTTCAAAACTAGATCAAGAGCAGGCCGGAATACAAGTTTCCTTTTAGCTAAGTCTCGATTAGCGGCAAATTAAGTAAATTACACTGCCAAGATTTGAACTTCTGGGAGTTCTAATAGCGGCAATATTGCAGAATTATAAAACTTCTTTGGACTGATTCACAAATATGTTTGTACTGGATCAGGGGCTGCGCGCGAGAATGGAAACAATTCGTCTCTAATCATACCGTAGAAATCCAACAAAAATCGAACCTCAAAATTGGAATTTTTGTTCAGGAAAAGAAAATCCAGCTGATAAGATTACACATAGGCAGGCGCAAAGCATATTCTATTGGATCGGAGAAGCTCTAGTGGAATAAACCTAGGCTTCAGAAATCTCAGAATCCCAAATTCCAAACGTTAAACGTCAGAACTATCCGAACACTGAAAATGAAAGGTGGTTAAGTAGTATGCAGATGTAATGCAAAGTTATAATAAAATGCAAACAGCTATTGGCCTCAAATAATTATAGCAGTCTGGGTAACTAAACTGGCTTTTTGAGGATTGGGGTTGCATAAAATCAAAGCAAAGATCTTATGAGTATGTTGTGATATAAAGTTTATTTACTGGTGACAAATCACACCTTTTTGGTGATAATTTTTGATTGCCAATACAAAAGTCTGATGGAAAAATATGTTAAAACATAAACAAATCAAAAATTAAAAAATTCTATGAAATTATTAAAGCTGACAAAATATGCAAAACAAAAACACTTATCACATTGATGAAATACTATGCAGACATCAAAATTCATAATGCATAATCAAAAGTGACTTTTTAATATTAAATTGCTGCATATTTTCAGCAATAGTTTTAGCTTTAGGTATTAATATAGTATTTTATGCATAAGATTTGTTAAGCTTTATAAAATATTTCGATAAATCATGAAATTCTTATTTTTGTAGTTGTTTCAACAGAAATAAAAATTAGTGTGTTAAAAGAAAATATAAAATCCCTTGCGCATCAAGGAACATGAGGCATATGTTAGAAAAAAGGAGAAACACAGAAGTCTTCTGTTGCCCAACGTTGTTGGTCTGAAAATCCCACTTTCAATTTTTCTGCTGCCAAAATTATTCAAAAAACATCTTCCATTGGAGAACTGGATTTTCTAGAGGCATTTCACATTCAAAAAAATCTTTCTATTCTAGTTATTATCTGTTCTAGTAATGATCCTAATTCAATCCATCTTTTCCTTCGGCCTTTAAAGAAATTATGTTTTATTTCTGGTTTCACCAACAGTGGCACCACTAGCTTATTTTCTGTCCAGGCTTTCTTATCTTATCTGATCATTATATTCTATCTCCTTCATTTGTGCTTTTGCAGCTGAAGATGGTGGTTCAGTAAAACCATCGAAACTAGTCCTGTGAAAATTTTGAAAATATAACACTGATTTTTATTGTTTGACTTTTGAATTAGTTATTTGTTCGGTGTGTTATTGTGTCTTAATAAGATCCCTTGTTCAGAGAAAACATTATTCTCACTTACATTCTTTGAGGCACTAGTCAGTTAATGTTACCAGTCATCAATAACCAAGTGTAGTGGCATCTATCACTATATGATACAGCAAACCCAAAAGCAAGCAATAAGAGTTGTGAAATCATTTTGGGTGCTTCCTGATTATCTGCACCTCCAGTTTAAACATTAGTAGAATTGCTGTGTTTCTAGCATACTTTCGAGTATATATGCAACAACAGCCAACCTATGCATGTATGTAATATGCCTGAGTACACATGGATTTGTATGTTTTATATTTAGCTATCATTTTACGGAACATCCATAATTCTAATACCAATGGGGGGGAATGTACTTCAGGCTAATTTGAACAGCACTGAATGAACCAATTCATGTTGTATCTAAAAACACCAAAGATAATCTTATTGTTAAGGATCTTGACTGCCTCTCCAGTCTTCAAGTAGTTATAACTGGAACTGGACTCTGATCATCTTTCAATTAATTTTACTCTTCATACATTGCTATCCTCAAAACTGCAAGAGAGAAGGAACATATGTAAAGTGGAACATTAACCACAGCCTTATTATCACCAAGAATATTGGTACTTCAGATAATAATTCAAATATTAACTGCATCACCAATAATTTTAATGAAGAAATTAAGTCAGCAGCCAAAGTTAAGGAAAACAATAATCATCAACAACCAAGAAACACAAGATAGAAAATTAAAATTAGTAGCAAGATAAAGAAGGACATGGATTTTAGAGATAACATGCATTTTAATTAAAAAAAGAAAAAAGAAAAGAAAGAAGTAAACTTATGAATGATTATAATAACAATGCATGAGACATTTATACAGAAAATATCAATCAAAACACAAGTGCAATCTTGTCCCTAGCCAAATTACTAAAAATAACTAGCTACAATAAAATTGAACCTATTGAAACATATAGAGAATTGAAATTCATGGATGAAGATATACAAGGAGCTTGAATTAATTCTTGATGTTGACGCAAAAAGAGGAATAGTTGTACTTGTGTGACAAAGTGGACAGCAACATAAGATGTATTTGACAATAGAAATATTAGGCTTTAAGATCTAAGTGTAACATTCAAATGGTGTGAAAAGTACATACCTATTTAGTGCCTTGAACATGTCGGATTTTGTACCTACAAAACAGCATTTGCAAGAAGTATTACTCTTTTACTTTCCTCTCATGAAATCTGCTTATAAACAGGATTTTGATGGTAAAAGCCTGGTCATTAAATTAATCAAAGAAATATTTAAATGTTTTCTTATAATATGTGATTAAAAAACAGAAAAGTTTCCCTGTGCATCAATTAGTTACATTTTAGAAAACAAGCAGTAAAAATAAGAAATATAATATATACATAATTTTTCATTTCTGTGATAAATTATTCCATATACAATGTATTATTTCATCAAGTGTTTGAAACTTTTGTGATTATGTTTTCATTACACACCCTTATTTTAAAAATCACAATCATTATGATCTTATTCATTATACGTTTTACAGGCACATGTGGTGAAATTTTGCAAATTTAAGCATAAGGCTCTAAAATGCGTTGCAGTTCTAATGCAAATCATAAGTAATAAATAACATTAATTCAAAAATGGTAAGAATAAATATAGTAGTATAAAAAATAATAAAAACAAAGTAAAATGAATTAAAATAATAAATACAGAAATTTTGAAAATAAAATTTTAAATTAAAATATACAAAAGAAAATAAATTAACAAATTTAAAAAATATCACATATGAGGATAGTGAAAATGTTAATATACTTTAAAAGCATTTCATTTCTATTAATATAACTGTAATCTCTATTTTTATTAACACATTTTAATATAAATTTTTCTTCTTATATTCATTAAATAATAAATTTAGCCACTTGGTTTATATAAGATATAAAATTAGGGGTACTTCGTTATAGCAACCCCTGAGATTGAATAGCTGATATATCTTGTCAAAATCTGGCATGTTCTTATACCTCACCCTGTGATCGTACATTAGCACCTGCATATTCTTATACCCTGTAACATAGGCACAAATCTAAAATGGCAAATATGGTTGAGGGCCGCTGTAACAAAGTACCAAATTAGGCTATAAAAATATCTGAATTTAATCACTATATTTGCTGATTAAAATCTAGATTTGTCTTCATTAACACCTTGAATGTTTTATTTAATTAGACACATTATTTAAATTACTAGCTTTCTCAAAATAATAAAAAATATACTTTTTTTATATTGTGCATAATAATTAAAATATAAAACATTTCAACATAAAATATTTGCATTAGCACTATATTACATCCATAGATTAGCCTGTTTAATAACACATTCCTAAATGAATAACTCACAAAAGAGGGGATAATATATATACCTTCATAATGATATCAACTTATGAATCAGAACCCTAATATTAGTGTCCGAGGTGACATTTCCAAAACTTATGAACTATGTGCTAATTCCACAAATAGAGTATCAATTCCAAAATAGTTTACAAATAGAAACCTACCTGCCTATACATAAATATTTAAACTTAAATTTTTAATATACAAACATTCAAGCATTAAACATAACAGCTGTTGTTCGATATTAAAGAAAGTGAACCCAACTGTGGTTACCAACAACCGGTATTTCTCTTGTTTCACATTTAATACAGTAATTTTTTCCTTCGTTATTATCCCAGAATGTTTGACCATCTGGAGTCTCGTAGCACACAGCAAAAAATAATGAGTGACCTCTTGTGCACAGATCAGATGGACTGCAAAATAAGGTAAATGTAAATTTATCACTGTCTTCATCACTTGAACCTTCTAAATAAAATGCAAGTTCATCATGATAACTCATCCACCCATTTGCTGTATATCTCACAAATACTGTTTTGTGAAATGTCAAATTTATCACACTTATGATTCCATAGACAGTACTGTCTGCTGTGCTGACACTGTGTAATGAAACCTTTAACTTCCGTAACCGTTCAATGAACAAAGAACTCAGAGATGGAGCAAGGAAAGCAGGAACTAATTGAATTTTCTTACCTCCACATTTTGGCTTTGATGACTGGTTCTGACTAGTTTCTGAATGTAATTCAGAACCAGATGGCACAATTTTTGGTAAATCTTTCTGAACCAGATAGCGGATAGATTCTAATTCTAGGCCAAGAGCATCAGCAAATCTGACAACCTTTTTACCTTCTTTACGTGGTGCAGGAAATGAAATAGCTCTTTTCTTCTTCAGAATTGGTTGAGTACGTGTTGGCATACAGTTTATAGACTGGCATCTTTCTTTCCCAGCACAGCATGCAGAAGCTTGTTCTGAAGATTTTTTGACCCATTGACCAGACTCCTCTTCAGCTTCACTCTCTTCCCACAAACCTGCAAGTTTTTATGTAAAAAAGATATAAAGAAAAGACTTGCAACATTTCAGTTAAATGCAAAATTCAATCTAGGTGTAAGTTAGATGATATGTTTTGTTTTGAAAAATTGCCAAATATAGCACATGCTATGATTGCATCAGAAAAAGATCAAGAAAATCTTATTCAGTAATTTTTTTAAAAAATGCATGACTAAAATAGTAATTTTATTACAGCACAAATATGTGGCTTATTTTTGCATATTTTACCTAAACTTTCTATGGCAAAAATTTGAAATTTGCAGATTTATTTGATATAATGATTAATAATTAATTAAATAACAGATTTATTCGATATTTTGCAATAAATAAATTTTCTTTATAAATGTATAATAAATTCATAAATTTAAAGTTTTTCTCCACTGCATTTTAATTTCTGCCAAAACTTTAGTAATAAATAAATATATAAATAAATAAATTTCCTTTAAAAACAGAAAATAAACTAACACCTTTTTTTTAAAGTTTTTCCTCCTTTATGTCTTAATTTTTATTGAAATTCTGGTACTTCTCTGTTATGCATCAGCCATGCTTTTTGGAACCTGTGAAACAGAAGCCAAACAAACACATACTGAAACTGTGTATGCGTGTCACACACTCACATCAAAGAATCCACACATAAAGGAAATGCTTTCTCCTATATCAGCCAATATTTAAAAATTTATGTCTGTCATCTAGTGTCCCCATTCAATTTCAGCTTATGTGATTTCAGAAATTAAGAATGAAATAAATTCTTTCTAGTAATAAATATTATTGTAGCAATGTTATAATGTTATAAAATAGCTAATATGTAAATGCTGGATATGAAATAAATAGTCTTATAACTAAAAATTGTTTACAATTAAAAAAACCCACTGAAATGCTTGACAGGTGAATAATGAAAAAATATCGAAATTTTTAGTACAGTTAATTATTTTAATATTCAAATTATTTCAGAACTGTATTCAAATTTGGATAAAAAAAACTTTTAGCAAAATAATTCAACTCCACACCATGTAGCACATGCTATTAATTGCATCAAAAGAAAATGTAATTCAGCAATTAAAGAAAAATTATGATTAAAATAATAATTTTATCACAGCACAAATATGAGGATTATTTTTTCACATTTTACCTTTATCTTTCAAAGACAAAAATTTTTAATTTGCAATATTATTATTATTATAAAATATTAGCAATAAATAAATTTTCTTTGAAAATGTACAGTTCATAAATTTTAAGTTCCCTCTTCATTCCATCTTAATGTATGTTAAACCTTTTATAAATAAACAAACAGATGCATAAGTAAATTTCTTTTACAAATAGAAAATAAATTAACAAATTAAGATTTCCCCTCATACTGTCTTAATTTCTACTGAAATTTTGGCAATTTTCCATTATGCAGCTGCCATGCTTTTTGGCGCCAGCGAAAGAATACGAAACACATACCAAAACTGTGTATGCGAGTCACACACATAAAGGAAATGTTTCCTGACATACTAGTGGATAATTGTAAATTTATATCTCCCATCTAGTGTTCCCATTCAATTTCTACTTATGTTGCTTCAGAAATTAAGGAGATGAAATCTTTGTAATAATAAATGCCATTGTAATAATGGGTTTTTTTCCATGTTATAGCAGGCCCCAAAATCGGTAATCAGCTGTGATGTAATATGTAGTGAGATACAAGAACATGTGGTGAGATTGCGGCGACATATGTCGCTTGATTAACAATTCAATCTTCAGGGCCTCTATAATATGGAAGTACCTAATAATGTTATAATGCTATGAAATAAGTGGTATGTAAATGCTATGTATGAAATACATATGTTGTCATCTATAAAATATTCATATAGCTAAAAATTATTTACAGTTGAAAAACCTGCCAAAATGCTTGGCAAGTGTATAACATAAAAGTAACAAAATTTTTTAGTTATTATTTTTATATTCAAATCATTTTAGAGCTGTATTAGAATTTGGATAAAAAATTACAGTAAAATAATTCAACTCCAAAATCTAAATCATAATTCTGAACCTTAAATTATTCACCAAGATTCGAAGTCATATTTATTATAATACAAATATGGTCTTCCATGATTTTGAAGGCCCACCAGCGTCCGAGCGGTAAAGTTGCTGAACACTGGTAGTTCGGTCCGAGGTTCGAATCCCGCGAACGGGCTGGCTGCATGGGTGTTTTTGTGGTTTTCCCCAAGTGTAACGTGTATACGAACCAGTTTCCCTTAGAAAGTCCTCCACAAAGGCCTCCCTTCCCTTAGGCAGATAGCCTTCGAGGCTTTGCCGTAATTAAATATCCTAATCCTAATCCTAACCCTGATTTTGAACTGCTCTCCCCATCTCTGTCACTACTCAGCGACTATATTGGTAACTGCTATAATATGTTACCAATTGTAATAGCAGTTATAGCAGCTCAAGGACATTTCCTATATATTGATTCGTAATTTGATCATGCATCATGCGAGTTAAAAAAAAGTACATCTGAAAGATTCAAGGGATTCAATGAACTTCTTACGCATCTTCAATTTATGATGGACATGATTTAATCTCAAATAATCATAACTGTTTTTTGAGATTTCAAATACATACATATTAAATTTCGGTTGATCTTTGGATTATGGTAACTTGGCGATTTTTTGGCGAAAATGTGGCGACCAACTCTGCTACAGCAAACCTCTGTTTTTTTTTTTTTTTTTTCACCGCCATTTTGTTTTCACGAAGTAAAGACATGTTTCTTTTCTTTTTATTTACTCAACACTTTTTCCAACAATCTACTACCGAATTACACATATGCTAGAAATTTTATGGAACAAACTCCTTAATCAGACAAATATTAACTGCAAATTGGGAAAAGTGCAGAATCGCAAACCTTGCCGCTTTTTTCAAAATCGCACATACACAGTAACCATGTACACGTCGACTTATTTTACTTAAAAAAATCCCAGAATTGCACAAAAATGGCATTGCGCACACTCTTGACTTTATCCATCTAAACTGCTATTTTCTCATAAATTACAAAAATTTGCACGAAAATGCAGGAAAATTTTGTGAATCTTTAAACTCGGTAAAAAACACATATATGAAATTACCTGATCGGGAAAAATTATATACCCTATCCAAGGATGAACATTTCCACGTATAATATAATAAAAGATCCAAAAACTTTTACCTCTAAATTATCTATTAAACAACACCAACGAATCTATAACAAACATTAAAATGGTTACAAATACTTAGTCTCAAATATTTAAATATTTCCATGCACGTTTACTTCACTGAAACGTATACCAAATTGCTACAAACATATAATCAAAAAAACACTATCATTTAATAAAATATAAAAACCATGTACACATCAACTTATTTTACTTAAAAATACATCCCAGAATTGCACAAATGGCATTGCACACACTCTTCACTATATCCATGTACACTGCTTTTTTCTCATAAATTAGAAAAATTTCACAAAAATGCATGAAAATTTTGTGAATCTTTAAATTCGGTAAAAAGGGCATATATGAAATTACCTGATCGCGAAAAAGTATATACCCTTTCCAAGGATGAACATTTGCACGTATAAAATAAATAAAATATCCAAAAAATTTTGCCTCTAAATTATCTATTATAAACATCACCTACCAATTTCTAACGCAAACATTAAAATAGTTCCAAATACTTAGTGTCAAATACTTTAATTCTTTCCATGCACATTTACTTCTATTCAAACGCATCCAAAATACTACAAACATATAACTCTCAAATACGATCATTAAATTAAATATAATTAAAAATTAAAAAACACTACTTAAAATATAAATAAGCACATACATTAATTAATAAAAATTAGCTTACAATCCTAATTACTTTAAACTAAATCCTTGCTAATAACAATTTTCCAATAAACAATATTAATTTTATTTACTCTTACATTAGAACAATACATAAAAATAATATCCTCAAATATTAAAATACTAACTTACCTAATCTTCTACAGAATCTTGAGTGCATGGCGGTTCACAAAATGTCCATTTTCACCAGATTTCTTGCACCACCATTCAAACTTATCTGTAATATCCTTCCTTTCACAAAATCTCATTTCACACTCACATGTTGGACATTCATACTTATCTGCAATTAAGCAATTCTTTTCAATTACACATAAATGCAATAAAAATTTCAGATTTACTTTATATAGGGCCATGGGATCCAAATATTAAACAACACTGTTTCACAGAACATAGAATGAAACTAATGCTGTACAGCAGATATTTTTACAAATTTACCCTCTTTTCCGATTAAAGAACAGTGATTCGTCCATTAATGTCACATGACATATCTCATGATCTCTCATTTCCCTCACACAAAATAATGCATAATCGGAACAGTACTTCTCACATTATTCCCAAAGTCCTAGGGCCCACCAGTGGTCGAGCGGTAAATACGCTGAACACTGGTAGTTCGGTCCGAGGTTCGAATCCTGCGAACAGGCTGGCTGCATGGGCGTTTTCGTGGTTTCCCCATGTGTAACGTGTATACGAGGTCGTTTCCCTTGGAAAGTCCTCCACGAAGACATCCCTCCCTTTAGGCAGATAGCCCTCGTGTGCTTTGCCATAATTAAATAATCCAATCCAATTCAATCCCAAAGTCCTAGGTAGTAACCTTTATCGCCTCTAAAATGTCGCCAAACTACCTGTTATCATATTCCAAAGATCAGCTTAAATTTCAACTACTAATTTTTTTCTTTGCTTTTTATTGCTTTTCCAGTTTTCTTCCAAAAAAAGCATTAAGAATCAACAAAAATTGCAAATTTTTTACAATCTCAATCCCCCCCCTTTTTTTTTTGTTGTTGTTGTTTTTCAAATTAAAGTTTCCATTAATTTGCTATGCATTATTACTTCAATTTTTTTATGAGTCTGTTAGACCTATATAATTTCTCCTATTAGATTGATTTGTAGTCTTCCTTTTAACATCGAAACATCATGCTGTGAAAATTACTCTTTTTTTTTTTAATATTATATTAATTTCTGTATCATGAAAATATATTATTCTGATATCAAAAAATAATTAAAAAAGAAAAATGACAAGACTCAAATTTTACTTTTTATTGAAATTCTTAAATTTTTAAAATTACTTTTTAATTCCATCTGAATATACTAACCATAAATAAATAGCTTATTTCTGTATTTTTATAGTATACATATTTCAATTTACAAAACAAACAAAATTTGTAAACTTTCATTTCTTGGAAATGATCCGGGAAATGTGCAAAATATTATTTCGAAATTATTTAATACAATTCTGAATATTCTGTAAATATCTAAAAACTATGCGAGTAAGCATTCCTTAATGGTCTAAATGGAGAAAATTAGGAATTCAACATCAATAAATATTAAAAATAATTAATATTCAATACACAAAATGTTAACTTACCAAAAACCTTTCGGCTTTCCACAGGCGTTGGAGGTATATCGTCATACTGGCACAAACGATTGCTTAAAAGTCTTACTTTCTTTTGAACATGGTCTCGTATAACATCTGAACAAACTTCACAATAAGACAGATTTCTAGGCAAATACAAAAATATTCGATCCTCTTCTCTGCACCTCAGTGGTTCTTCGTCAAAACACACACTGTCTAAACCACGAGAAAGTTTATCATTATCGTATATATTTTGGGGTATATCTAATGAAAAACTGTGCTGTCTTTGACTACCAATTTGCCACTGTCTTCTCCTGGAACTAGATGTAAATATATTGGCAGGCCGAGATGTTATAACAGACATTGCAACTTAGTTAAAATTCGCGTTCTACTGATGTTGTTTACATTTCGCAGCATGTTAACTTTGACCTCGGGGTGACATTATAAATAGTTGCCAATTATTGAAATCAAAATTAGTTCCTGAAAAATAAAGAAAACTATCATTCAAAGTGAAGTAAATATCCTTATCAATTAATTTATTATAACGCAAATAATGTGTCACAATTTCAAATATTATAAGTATATACTTAGGCATTTGTCACTTAAACGTACTCAGAATATAAATAATTCTGAATACGTTTGGGGGACAAAGCAATTGAATTAGCGTTTCTCTCACTATGTATGGCATGGCGGCCTCATTTACAAATTAATCACTCTCAATTTTCCAGATCCTTTTATTCGCTTAATTGACTCTTATCTCATCAACAGAACATTCAGAATCAAAATTGGAGCCACTTACTCTACCACCAGAGTAATCAAAGCTGGTGTCCCACTGGGTCTGCACTTTCGCTGTATCTTTTTAATATTTATACGCAAGACATCCCTAACGATCCTTCTTTCCATCTTGCACTCTTTGCTGATGACACCTCTATCCTTAATAAGCCTGCACAGCAATCACCGTAAGAAATCAACTCCAAACCTATCTCATAAAACTGGAAAAATGGCTCACCCTTTGGAGGATTAAAATTAACACTGAACAAACCAAAGCAATAATTTTCCGTAAGGGTAACATAAACTATTACCCGCAACCCCCTGAAATATTTTACGAAAAAATAGACTGGGTTAATGAAACAAAATACCTTGGAGTCACCCTGAATCAATAACTTACCTTCAGAACCCACTTCCGCTCAGAAGCACAAAAATTTAAAATCACCTCAGCAACTATGCGACCTCTTCATGATAGAAAAAGCAACTCTTCATGGAAAATATGCCCCTCTTATCAAGCGAATTCTTAGCCAAAGATCAATTTAAATACACTCGTGCTCAAAACATAAGCAATAGACGCAGAAGGAAAAGGTACGAGTGTGAAAAAGGGCATTAAAACATACAATTTACGTATGAGATAAATGTTGCATCACCAAACACAAATAGGCAACCAGCAAACAAAATTAGCGCAAACGATATCCCGCAATTACAATACAACACCTTAGTAAGGAACATGCCAGACCGCATAGGTTCGCATGCAGCGATAGTTCGCAAGTAGTGATAGTTCAGGTAATCCAAGAGAGCCAAAAAGGAAAACATGAGCCAAAGCAAGGCCAACTAGATATCTTGACCAAAGACACCATTTGTGCGATGAAATGCGTTGGAGAGCTGTCGAGATGTTGAAAGCTGGTGCAAGCCAATCCGTTGTTGTGAGTGAGCTGAATGTGCATTGTAGTGTCATCAACAGACTGTGGAATCATTACTAAAGGGATCAAAATCCCGTAAAAGACATGGGTCTAGACGCCAGAGGAATACCACGACAGCAGACGATCGCTTCTTGTTGCTATGTGCAAGGCTTTGTAGATCACTAACAACACAACAGTAGGTGTTGAATGTCTCTGCTGCTGAAGAGCAGCTTGTATCCCGCCAATGTGTTGCATCAATAGCATGGAAGTGGCGTGAACATCGAAGTTAGACTTCAATGCAGTAGAGCCACGTACTGTTTACGAATGAGTCTCGATTTAACATCCAGAATAATTCCCGAAGGGCAGAGATATGGCGAGAGCCAGGGATTCGCTACTGGGCGCCACACATCGTCGAAAGACACCATTAGAGTGGAAAAGGCTTGCATGTGTGCCCTGGGATAGAAACAAACGGCCGTGCCGACCTCTGCGTAACTCCTGATGATTCCATTACAGAGGTTCGATATTGCGACAAAATTCTAAACACTTTCGCGTGTCGTTTTGTCGCTGCAATGGGTACCCAGGCGATATTTACGGACGATAACTCCCGCCCGTAGAGAGCTCGAGTGGTGCGGAATTATTTGGAGAATGAAATCATCTCATATCTGCCTGGCCGATGCTATTCGCACCAGCGGTGCGATTAGCCGCTTGAGCTATTCGCACCAACATTAATCAGGCATGCACATTGAGTTGTCGGATCCGTCATTCGAACCCAATCGAAAAGAACGGGTTCTACGTACGCGAACTGCCTAAGTGTTGTAGTGAATCTTTTTTTTTAGAAGGCGTCGTTTATCATTTTTTAAGCGTTGGCGATTTTTAACAGTTTATAAAGGAAAATGGGTTCCTTTTCTTATATATATTAAAAGAAGGAACACATTTCCTTTTATTAAAGTATATATGAATAAGGGCAGATTTTTATGTTCACAATGTTTATCGTTTTCCTGAACAGTTGGAATAATTTAAATGACTGATTTGGGGGGGAACAAAATTTTGTTTACGTTTTTTGTACTTCTTAGAATAGATTTATCTTCAAAGATGTGTTTGGCACAATCAAGACTCTAATTCATTCCTCTTTGAAAATTATCTGAGAAAAGATAATAAAAGTTAGATAGAGGATTTCTGTGTAGAAAATTTAGACATGAAATAAGTTAAAAGCCATTAAATCAACTATTAATCATATAATACTGGTAATTAACAATTTTGTATGCCTGTTTATTTTTTTTTATGCAAATACTTGGCATTTTCAGGACACAAAAAGTATTTCAAAGAAGTTTGAAATATTAGTACAAACACATTAATAAATTAAACTGAAATAAATATAGGGATGTAATTTAAAATACAGAAATAATTTAATGTAAAAGATTTAGATTTAAAAATTTGCACACACAAATGATTTATCAGATTTTATAAGGTTTTATTTCATAAATAACTTTGATTTTGAAATATGGCATTTGAACTTATAAACATTGTGTGGACACTGAAAATGTGATGCATATATAAGAACATTATAATTGTTCAAGTAAGATTTTCTTATTGAATAATAAATTCTGACAGTCCTATGCTATAAGACTAGGGTCTAAGTTTGCATAAAAATTCCTCAATCAAATAAAATAATTTAAGAAATTTATCTAGCCTCTTTGTCAATACATTAAAGACTTTTTTAACTAATTACACATCCTCGCTTGCAATTAAAACCATCATTAGATCCCTATTTTATCTAATCATTTCCTGAACATTATCATGTATATAGATTGACCTCGTCTTTGCAACTGATAATTATTACTTGCAAATTATTCTCTTGCTGGGTGAACTATTAACAACCCTTTCTATTGCTGAGTTACGGTTAACAACCTTCGCTCTCGCTACCGTCTGCCTTACGCAAATTGGCGTAAATGCTGGTACCTGAACTGATTGTGCGCATGCGTGAACGTAGGTGGTGTGAATAGCCTTTTAGCTATTCGCACCGTCGGTGCGATTAGCCATTGCGTATCTGCCGTGCCCTGCTAAATCACAGACCTGAATCTCATAGAGCATGTGAACGACATATTGGGATAACGGATAGCAGGTCGAAGTGAACCGCCAGGCACCCTCCGAGCTCCTCATGCATTACTATAGGAATGGGTTCTACTGCCACAACAATCTATCAACGACACTATTGCCAGCTTGCCCCGCCGTTAATAAGCATGCATTTCACCTAGAGGTTATCATACCCGTTATTAGCACGATGTTTACATTGCACATTCTACCGACCAATTAGGTCTTTTGTGATTTGATGGTCATAATACATGTGTTTCTATATGGCTTTGCTTTATTATTTACTATGTGGTCTACTAATGCCACACTAGCCTTTTGGATCAATTTCGCTTAATGAATCTTGAATGAATCTTGAATCAATATTAATTAAATATGAGTGTTTTGACTTTGTTGCTTATTTTTTTAGCAGGAGTGTAATTAAGTTGTTGTTTAATACACTGCTGGTCATATAAATTGCTTCAAGGCATTTAAAAGTAAAATTAGGCGTACAACAGACTTCAAATTTGTCTGAAAAGTAACCCTTACTGAGATATGTAAATGATCTTTCAGCGCATGCGAACAGAGCAGCTATCTACAATATGTGTAAATGGAAACATTGCACAGCCAACTACATGTTCTCCACGTTACAGAAATGTTCCACTATCACTGTGCCATTACGGCTAAAACTCATGGAGACGGCAAAATCGCACTTTGTACGAACGTTCGGTCATAATGAAACTCGAATGAAACTATACGCGATTCCAATCACGTATAGCTGGAGCTTTCACACATTAGCCTCACGCATGAGGAATGGATAAGGATTGTGATCTGACCTTACGCATCCGAAAACGGAGCTAAGTTTCTCTTAGATTTTTTATTTCATTCAAGGAGGTGTAAATTATCGTTGTATTATTGAAGCACAAGAAAATTTAAAAGATCATTTAGTCATGCGAGGAATTTTACTTGAATTAAATTGAATTTTGAAATTTTACTCGTGTTTGAAGTAAAGTTCTATGGCATCCTCACCGCATAAAAGTGAATCATAATTTGCAGTTGAGAAAGATGAAATGAAAATTTCAAAAAATTCTTGTTTATGTAAAGGAGAGTTGCTAGTTGCTGTAAGCACTGTGTCGCTGGTTGTTGTACTGCAGATCAGAGTTTCTGAAACTGCGGGACCTGCAGCAGAGGGTCAGCAAACATTTTACCAGTTTCGATATTTCTTTAACTTATTATAATAATTTTATAAGTACCAAATATTTTTACACAATGTATCTGAAAATAGATAAAGATAAGACAATACAGATAAAGAAAAAACGAAAACCTTTCGAAGCATTCTTTTTATAATATGACGTTCAATTAATTTGCTTTGCACGCGACGCTGTCATTTCGTCTGTTACTTTTTAAAGATTTTCATATTGTTCAATGTCTTAAAATTATAAATTTGAGTTACCAATCTAAAACTGCAATGGTACATTACAGTACAAGTGAAAAAATTGACAGTTTCACTCACGTGTGTGTCGGATTTTCGCAATGCATATGGGATCCCATTGAATTTTATGGTATATGTGGCTACAAAATATGGGGCCCTGGAGTCGCGAAAATATCTCAGTGATAAAAAAGGGTCGCGACTGAAAAACTTTTAAGAAGCCCTGCAATAGATAATTAATCTTTATCTTTA